CGTTGTAAGTGTACAGTTGCAAGTCAGATTGATTGTTAGTTTCGTGGTGCTAGAGATATAGATAGAAGATGTATGTGATGAAATTTATCGTCGTTGTAAGTGTATAGTTGCAGATAGTAGACTTCTGTAAGTCAGATTGATTGTTAGTTTCGTGGTGCTAGAGATATAGATAGAAGATGTATGTGATGAAATTTATCGTCGTTGTAAGTGTATAGTTGCAGATAGTAGACTTCTGTAAGTCAGATTGATTGTTAGTTTCGTGGTGCTAGAGATATAGATAGAAGATATCTGTAATGAAACCTATCGTCGTTGTAAGTGTACAGTTGCAGATAGTAGACTTCTGTAAGTCAGATTGATTGTTAGTTTCGTGGTGCTAGAGATATAGATAGAAGATGTATGTGATGAAATTTATCGTCGTTGTAAGTGTATAGTTGCAGATAGTAGACTTCTGTAAGTGAGAAAAACTGTTATTCTATAAGTTGGAGTGATGTAGAAAACCTTCCTAAATATGGGTAAATGGGAATTTTGAGAATTGGAGATACAGAGAGAAACCTACTGTAAGCATGAATCAATTTGTAGTTTTGTGAAACGGTAAATACAGGTATAAAACATCTGTAAGTCTTGGTTAATATGCAGTTTTTTGGAATTGTATGTATGATGTTATAACACAGAAAGAATGCTTCATTTCTAGCTCAAAGTTCGGAATTTGATCAAAGGCATAAAGGCAGTGAAAATATCCATCGAATTAATCAAGCAAATAATTCATTTTTAGCCACTAAACTAAGAATAAAATAATAAGTAAAAATACATAACAACACCATATTGTTATCGTTAGATTTACACCCTGATATACATTGTCTTTGAATTGAATCTGTGTTCTTTTCAGATATTTGAAATAACGATCTTATGCTAAACTGTAATTGAAATAATCATTAAAATACTTTACATGCTATCAACAGATGCTGCCTTAATTAAAATGTCTGATGAGGGATCTTTAAAAATTAAAAGTCAATTACATGTGAAGCTTATAATTTATTTTTCAATGTTTGTGATTGTTAATATGATATGTTGTAAGTCACGTTGTCATGTCAACATGACATCAGCCAGAACTCTAATTACTTGTAATAATATATTAAAAGTATTTTCTTATCATTATTCAACTTTTTTGAAAAATAATTTTTCTGTACAACACCAAAATCAGGGGGTTCGATTCCCCTCAGTAGACACAGCAAATATCCCGACGTGATCATGCTACAAAACACACATACACACATTTTGCAGATGAAGATATATTTATACTCATTTAACCACACCAAATGTTGTCTCAAAATTCTACTTTCTCTTCATTTTATGTTTGTTTTAGAACAAAGCCACATCTCGAACTATCTGCTATGTTCAACACGGGGAATCGAACCTCATATTTTAGCGCCGTCCCACCGGGGGACTCCTTTTATATATCAATAACAATTTTAAGGGGATTTTATAATTGATATTATGTTGTTTGAACGTGGGAGAATTTCCGGTTCTCTTTTCTAAATCCACTTACGTCCTGTGACAGGGTGTAGCAAGGTTGGATAGGTAGCAGCTGCGGGAGGCGACTGCTGTTTCGGTTTGCTAACCTTCGTATTGCTCTTTGCAAATTCTAGTCGAATCGTCTGAGGAAGGTCAGGGTCAAAACGAATTCCTTGCTGTAAAAAATCAAGAGATGCATCTGATGTGAAATTTAGTTATATGTGGTCGTGCAAAAACAGAGATATGGAAAGAATATCTAGAATAAGTGAATTAATTTTCTTTGTAAATTTACTGTTGAAATGTTGGATCACAATTAATTTATATAGACACACAAATATGTTATATATATATATATATATATATATATATTATACTCTACAGTATTTCTAATTCATTAATTTATTCCTGGTCTTGGAATCTATAATCGTGGAT